AATTTGTTCCTAAACCTGAGAAGGCGGTATAAGTTGGATGACTATCAGTTGAAAGATTTGTATATAGTGTAATTACTCAATTGTATATATTGTAAAAAGCTAATTGTCTTCAGACTCATGCTGTTACTATACTGTTACTAAAAAAATGGGCCTATTTCCATGCCTTTAGACTGTCTAATAGCTCTTGGACAGTGCGAAAATTCCTTTTTTCCTTTCTTAAATTCTTAATCATTGCGACACGACAATTAGCCAGAAATTAATTAATTTCCATTCACTAGTATTTTCAAAAAAATCTTAACAGACAGTCTCCTCAATAAGAACTCCACAAAATACATCCCTCAAGAATTCCGAGTCCCCCACCCACTACCATAAATTACTTCACCCAAGTCTTACCGACTGATATTATTCAAAGCCCCCTACTGCCGCTAAGAATTTTCGGACACCCAACACTTATGAGTCAGACACGAAGAGAACACTTTGCCAACTCCCCCACTAGAAAGAATGTAAGTTACTTAATACCTTTTCTGGCCTTTATATCTTCATGTACATTCACTGATCTTATTTATATTATTTTTTATTATTTTTATTTTTTGTCTTTGATTTGTTTTTACAAAGTTTGCATTATTTATCTTTTTTATAATCTTCTATGTTTATTTCAACTTTACTTTGAATTCGATTTCATAATGAATTTCCAATGTTTAATTTCTACAATAATATAGTACTCAAATGCATAAAGATGATAGTGTCGGGGACGGTTACTCGAGTTACGGATTTCTCTACAGTAATTGATTTTTACTCCAAATTGAATTGACTAAAATGCTTCATGAGAATAAGTTCTTTGAGTAAGAAAACTATTCGCGGAAATATTTGGCCTGACTAGAATTGCCGGTTTGGCTTTAACTTATAACTCGAGTAAAGACGAAACACTTTCATATTTACGTATTTTTATCAATTATTGTTCGTTGAACGGGAGTTGGTTTGTTCCCCTTGAAAAGTCAACTAATTTCCGATCAATGACATAATTACATGTTTTAATTTTTCCTTTTACAATTGAAATTATTCTTCGTGATGATTTAACTCCAGTCCCCGTTAAAACATTATTAACATTTTGCTTTCAAATTACTTCAAAACATCCAAAATATAACTTACCAGTATGGATCACACTTTTAAAATAATTCTACTTTAATTAAACTTAGGAGATAATAAATCAATAATCAATACTGTTTAGGAAAAAATTATTAACTAACTTTGCAGCAATTGCGCAATAATAACTTGTATTCGCACTAAATGGATTTAAGCATACACATTAATATATATATATATATATATATGCTGCGTGCGTACGGGTTCGTTATGAATTGAAGCAACAAATCCGATGAAAAATGAACAAAATATTATTACAACAATAAAACAAAATGCTTAAATCCTCAGATATTCCAGTATTAATATCTCACAGTAGTACATACCCAGAAACTCAAACAGCTAAGAAAGCAATCCGCGAACAGTCAGATAAACAAACTCGAAAAGAACAACAACTAAAAAACACGAAAAGAGGTTTTCTGCGCTATAAGCTTTTCAAGGCGGAGAAAATTATTCGCGAATGAGAAAGAGATTATGCAAAATGCAAATAAGAAACAATACCAATAAAAAACAACATGAACAAAAAGCAATAACTAACTTAAAGAAATCAAATGTTATCAAATACTAAATGCAAAGCAATACTAAAGACAAATTAAACTAAATACACAAATCAAATACAATAAAGTCAACTCCTTGTATTTTTAATTTCCGGCTTACTTTAATAGGCGAGCTGCACCTGCCGGGGAATAAAAAAATTTAACAGATTCTACTATCATTAACTAATTAAATACCAAATCCCTAACAATATATATATACATATGTAATATACTAAGTGCTCAGTGATGAATCCGGTACTTTTAATTTCTGGCTGTAGACATGGCTCGGTCGATAAGGCATTAATAAGACGTTGGCAAAACTAATTTCGGCGAATCCCCATCTTTATATTTAGGCACATCAAAAATTATTTCTTTGGCAGACAAATTACTTTTCGATCATTGTTGAATACCAATAAGTTTTATAAACACAGGTAAAAAGCTACGACATCATTTCAGGCAGGGAAGCATGAGTGGCGCGGAGCTGTTTGCATGGCAGAAGTCAGGGGGGGAAAAGGGAAGCGTAGTTCTCTTGACTCAGTATTTATAATTCCCGTTGGTGCAGAGAGTATTCTAAGCTACGATTGGTCAATATTAGTTTTAGTTACCTTTTTCAAGCAGTGTTATGTAATTTGGGAGAACAGATGAATTTAGGAGGGAGAGCACCAAATTTAGAATGTCAATTTTGAGGTTACCAATTATTTTTTATAGCAGCCATCGTATTTTGTTATATCTTACATATATATATTACATATTATACAAAAAATACATACCGAAAACTTCATTTAGTCTTCCCGTTTTAGCAAACGATTCGTAAAAAGGCTAAACTAATTTACCACTCAGCCGGTAGCGGACATTGGATGTCAAAAAAAAAAATTCTGATGTTTCATCCGAGATCATCCTGTGTAACTACTGAATGAACTCCAACATGCAGTAATGATATTAACTGTGAAATAGGCCTTTATTAAATGTAACCCACATTTTAAGATATATTTAAAACTCATAACATTAATAGGTATATTTAAAGCATACTCTTATTTTATAAAGGGATGCACTTGCCCGAGCTATTTGCTATAACTTCAGTCAAGCTAGAACTGATTAAAAATACTGTTATGATGATAAAAATAAAGAGACAAACAAAAAAGGCCAACGTTATTGAGATGTATTGTAAGGAATATTGGTTGTTATATGGCAGTGCGAGTAGTTTTTCAAATTATAACTTGAAGGTAGTATTTTAGAGTAGGCACTATCTTATTGTAATTTATAAATATTCTGAATTTGCATATTGCTAACATAAAATTACAGTACAATGCATATCCACATCGAAATTTTATAGAACATAAAGTTTTTACTAGTGCTCAAATAACTATAGTTATAGTACGGTTGGCAATACTAAGATAAGGAAATAAACAAATTACAGTCTACTAAATGACTAGCACTGAGATTGTCTCAGATTCTTTGAAGAAATAAAATTTTATCTCAGAAAATATTGCCGTATTTCTGCCTGCTTTGTTTAAGATTTTTTAAAGTATACCTATTACTGTCAGATTGTAGAGACATTTGGTTATTTTTAAAGCAGGAGTGATGAAAAATAAGCAACGCCCTTGCCGGGAATCGAACCACGTACCTCTGGAATACGCGCCCAGCGTGCAGACCACCACACCGCGAACGCATGCTAAGAAGGCGGGAGAAGTAGATATAACCCTTTTAGGGCGACTAGGGTTTTTAGAGGACCCAATCACCAAATCCTGGGTGTGGAGAATCATCATCCAGCACCCTTTTAGTTCGGGCGCCGCTGTAGAGTCATTGGGTTATTTTTAAGCAGGAGTGATGAAAAATGAGAAACGCCCTCGCCGGGATTCGAACCACGGATCTCTGGAATACGCGCCCAGCGTGCAGACCACCACACCACGAAAGCATGCTAAAAAGGAGGGAGAAATACCTTATAAGTTGTTGAGCAGTGGTCCTATCCCTCTCGACAAGTACCAGTCTTTCAGATGAAATATATATCTAAACGAAGTTTGAAGTATTCATATCTTTCTAAATTAAAATTGTTTGGAATATAATTTAATCATTTTGATTTTTCGTAATGAAATATAATTTGTATTCGAAATGCCAGTACAGCTTTTTGTCTTTTCTGATATGTTCATTCTGTGTATAAATGTCCAACATTAAATGTTTTTCCCTCCTGAGACCTAAGGCCATTTCACGTACCTCTGAGAATAAACCCAGGTTGAGAAAAGCTGCACTTGAGGTTTCATAACGCAAGTAACTTTTCTTATCTGATCGTGAATCAATTAAAACTTTTTACTTCTAATGTAAATATTGACAGATATTCCCAACAAATTGTTTTGTCACTGAGGTTTATCTAACCGTTGAAAGAATATGCAAGGCATAAGGTTTTCGTTTTGCACTTTTTTGCCGATCAAATCATTTCTTTTGTACACATTAAGGTGTTCAAAATATATCCCCAATAAGCGATAAGGCAATTTAAAATAATTACGGTATTTGCCGGCGTATATGACGACCTTTTTTTCTTTTAAAATAGGTTTGAAAAATGGGAGGCGTCTTATACGTCGATACGCGGTTTATTCGGAGTTAGCATTTCGCTAATTTGTTAATGGGTCAAGCTTCATGTGATGCTGTGAAAACAAAGACAGTGGTTAAATCATTTAGGCAGTGCAGCATTAGTAATGCAGTGGATGGTACAGAGGACATTTTGTAGTCTGAGGACTCACATGCTGATTTAGAAGAGGTTTCAAGTGAGTCTTCACTTAACACTGAAGATGAGTGTCTGGGTTTTGACGAAGAAGATTAAAAGGTGTTCTTTCTCAGATAGATTGGGTATTTGCAGAAAATATTACTTTGTATTTGTATTTCTTTATATTTAAAATACTGTAAATTCAGTAATAAAGTTTTATCCTTCAAAAATGTGTATAAAAAAGAGGGTGCGTCTTATAGGCCGGTGTGTCTTGTTACGCCGGCAAACACGGTATATTAATAGCGAAATGAGAATAAATTAACATCAGGTGTCAAAATATTACTTGTCGATAAATCCCTTTAAAAAAAAAAAAATATTTTAGAGAACAACAACGATTCACTTCCTGAAGCACTTTAATGTGTATTCTCATAAGGACTCGTTTGTTTGAAGGCTAAGTTATCTTAATTATTCAATCAGACGCTATACGGGTGTGGTTTTCCGATAACTTGAAAGAAATGCAACAAAAAGTTAAAAAAAATTACCGTTTGTCCGTATTTTCTACATTTATATCCGCATAAGAACCTTGAAATGTTGGAGTATAAATACGACCAGCATATCATTGATGGTCATTAAGTTTCATCGAACTCAACGCCAAACATTTCAACATGTTCACTAAGGTGAGTGTTCTTTCAGATTTTATTAAAATATCTTTTGTGCGCTAAATGTGCTGAGCACTTACAAAAAAGTGTCGAAAATTTCGTAATTTAATAATTTTTTTTTTTTTTTTTTCTAAATATTATCTACTGTTGTATTAAAGCTCTGCTTTATAAGCTGGAAACCCTAAATCGAATGACTTTAACATTATTTTTAATGTTATAATATTAATTTTTTGTTTCAGTTCAATGTTACCACTAACGTTTTATTTATTTTCTTAGTTATATTATATACATATATATATATATATGCATGTATATTCCGCAGTAAAAAATAACATTTCGCTTACTGAAATCGTGTCGAAATTTTATAAACAGCTTTTTAATAAAATTTATAGATCCATAGTAGTTTAAAGATAAAGCATATTTGCGTTCTTTAAGTGAAAAATGAAATTAATCTTTTTCGAGCAGAAAGTAATTGTAGTTTTGAAAATTAAATAATTTTTGAATATTTGTTAACACTGGAAATCCGAAAAAGCTATTTTATCTGATTATGCCAATCTGACGCGAAACCATATTTTATTTGACACCGCAAAACGTTGTTTAATATTATTTGTTTCGTAAACTATAAGATTGGTTTGGTTTGATTTATTTTATTACGGCAAAGAACTCGAGTGCTATCTGCCTAAGGGGATGTATACGTTCGTGAAAGACTTTCTAAGGGAAACTAACTCTTATACACGTTACATACGGAGAAAACCATGAAAACGCCCATGCAGCCGGCCCGTTTGAGGGGTTCGAACCTCGGATGGAGCTACCTGTGTTCAGCGATTTTACCGCTCGTCCGCTGGTGGGCGCGTAAATTATAAGAACTCTGATTCATTGCAGAGCGCTCTTCTTTCAAAAGATCATAAGATGCTCTAAATTTTTATATATGTTTAAAGAAAAAGTATTAAAACATTAATTGTTATAAACAGGCGTTCTGAAAATGTCTTTTCTTCAGTTTGTTTTTGTTTGTTTAGTTGCATAAGGCAAAATAGTTGAAAAGCTCTGTGCCTAAAAGAAAGGATGCCTTCTTCGAAGATTTTTTAAAACGTCGAAGTAACTTGTATTTTTCGCATACATAATTAAAAGGTCCATGCGAGCAGGTCATACGTTCACAAGAATCAGGATTCTAAACGAACTACAGAGTCCAGAAATCTTGTTTACTCTATAACTGATCGGTTTGATTCAGTGAAAGAAACTTGTTGCTATTTAATCCAAAAACTGAAGAATTTCGTTGGTAGAGCTACTTAAAAGACTTTTTATATATGTAGGTTTTATCTGTACGATTACAAACGTTTTAGATCCTCTCTGTTTCAAAATGCAGAGCAAATTCCAAATTTAAGAATTCATTACAACATACAATATGCTATGTTCGTCCAGGTACTCGGAATATCCGGTCAGAAGATTAAGGATTGCAAAAACAATTATTTTTATTTAAGCAGTTAACGTTTGCAAAAGTTTTAATGATTGTAAGATTTTAAAAGTGATTTTCAACAAATGCGAAAAGCTTCATTACTGCTAAATAATTTGCCTGTAATTTTTAATGAATTTTATTCAAATGCTTGAGTTTTAAACTTTTTAAGCGAATTAACTTTTCAGTTATTGTGGCTCCCTGTAGTGTTATATTAATTGCCTGTAAAAGTAGTATCACTCTTAATCGCCCAACTCTTAGTTATCCCATCTAACTGTTTATATTGTTTCAGATCGTCATTCTGTGCGCTGCTCTCGCAGCTGTTCGTGCTAGTGCCCTTCTCCATGGACATGCAGCCTTAATCAGCACCGGTGTTAGTGCAAGCTCTAGAGCTCAAGATGTAAGTACTTAATTGCTCAAAAATAAGTGAACAAACAATTAAATAAAAAAGTAAATCGTTCTTAAACATATAATAAAATCTTTAATTCAGAAAACAAATTTCGATCACGACGTAAACCAGAAAATATATATAAAAAATTCTTATGCAACGGCTAGATCAAATTTTTGTTGTAACTGTCATACAAACTATTTTAATTGCCTTCAGTGGACTTAAATTTATAATCTGCGATGTATATTCTGATACTGTACATTCAAAAATGATAGTTCGATTTACTTTTCATTTTCGTCGTACAGTTTTGAATCTTGCACGTTTTTCACAATCGTAAGCCTTCGTAGTAGTGAAGACAATCAGAAAATGATCGTCGCATCAATTATCAAAGCATTAATAATTTTATTTCCCACTTCTTTATATAAATTCTGATTTTTCAGTGCATTATAACTTTATACTAATAAAAAGCGTATTTCATATTGATTAATCAGTTTGAAATTTGTTTTAAAACGAATTTACCTTTTAACGCCATAAATTAAAAAATTTCAAGAGAAATTTTTTTCATGATATTCTAGAATTAAAAATTATATTTATTTTTTAAGAATTTCACTTTCTTAACTGTTATTATTGTACCTTAAGGTATTCGATAATGTGCCTTTTAGTTGGTCTAAGAACTATGTTTTTCTATTTTCACAGGCTATCGGAAATTATGCTTTCGGATACGATATCGTTGATGGTCTCGGTGCCGCTAACTCCCGAAGTCGGAGATGCTCATGGTAACAAGAAGGGATCTTACACCATTGCTGACATTGATGGAAGAGCTAGACGTGTCGACTATGTAGCTGATGGTCTTGGTTTCCGTGCCACCGTCAAAACTAATGAACCTGGAACTGCTGCCAGCGCTCCAGCTGCTGCTCTAGTCGCCAGTCCATACGCTGCTCCAGTCGCCCCTGTCGTCAACCACGTCGCCCCAGTCGCACACATGCTGCTGTAGCAGCTCCCTTAGCTCACGGTCTGTTGGGTGCCGGTCATTTGGGTTACGGTCTAGCTGGTGCTCATGGTGTAGTTGCCACTGGTCTTTATGGACATGGTCTTTTGGCCCATGGAGCCCTGGGACATGGCCTTGGACATTTAGCTTTTCATTAAATATTAACTCGTTAAAAGAACGTAAGTATATCTTTTATATGTATATCATGTTTTATCTCTGTTAACATATTTTTGTTTTTATTTTTTAATGCTGTCATTATCTTAAGCTAACTCTTGTAACGAAGTACAATATACTTTTAAAATCGTTTCATATTGGAAATTTCTTCAGACATTGTTTATTTATTTTAATATTAATAAGAAAGGTATTTTTGTGCAAAAGATGTCAGATTTGGTTTTCTTTTTAAAATGTATACTTTTCTACCTTCGATTAACCATATATTTGAAATAATTAAAGTTTTTATCTCTTTTATAAGAGTTTTACCCCATAATAACATCTTGTGTTAATCATTTAACATTTTTTTTCTCTTTAAGGTCTAAACACATGTTCAATTTCATGCCATTTCGTAAATCAGTGCTAACTAATGTAATATAATATTCTTTCAGCAATTTTTAGAATTTAAATAAGATAAAATATATTTTTTAAATAATGTTCTTTTTTTTTATTTATTGTAAGGTGACTTATTAAACTTTACTATATATAGTCACCTAAACGTTCCTAAAAATTACCTCATTCATTCTCAAGCGATAAAAAATATTTTAGGTTTTTTTCATTGTTCGAAGTTTAAAATACATTTTCATACATAATATGTTAAAGAAAAGTATTTTTCGAATAATAATTATTTTTTCTGAATAAAAATATTATTTATTTTCGCTTTCTAGAATATGGAGTACACAAAGGATTTGGGATCCATTAAAATACTTAAGGATTTGCTCTTCTGTGGCAGATTTGGGAAAAGGAATTCCTGAAAACTTCCAGCTAATTCTCTTCTCCTTAGTTGTCTGTGGCTCCATAAGGGGAAAGATGGAATATGTCAGCCTTATTTATTTCAAATACTTTGTATTTGACTGTAGGCATTTCAATAATGTATTGTAAATAAAATCGTAGTTTCGTATTATATTATGTTATCTCTTTATTTTTCCTTTTTGTTAGTGCTTTAGATCTCTAAAATATGATGAAACGCTTTAAATTTACATCTTATTAACAACACTACGCCGTCACGAATCTCTAAGATTAGTTTTGCAAGGAAAACTCAATTTAAAGTTTTACAGGCAATTAGTTTTCAGAAAAACTGAGTTACGAATTATGTATGATAATTCTTTTGTATATATCTAGCACAAGACCTATCTTTCTCTTTTTGTTTAATGTAACGATTTTAGTACTTTAAAAAATTCTTTGGTAAATGCAGATCCTTTAACGAGATGCCGATAGTGTGACGATTTTAGTACTTTAACTTAGTGATAACGATTTTAGTACTTTAAAAAATTCTTTGGTAAATGCAGATCCTTTAACGAGATGCCGATATTGTGATCAAGTAGTAAACATACATGATTCCATAAAATATGTTTTTGGAGACGACGATGGTTTTGGAAATTTATACTGCTGTCTGATAATAAACGCATATTTTTTAAACTTTTAGCATGTCTCGTTTTTTTTTTTTTTTTTTTTTTTTTTTTTTTTTTTTTTTTTTTTTTTTTTTTTATATATATATATATATATAAAATTTCAATTAAAATTCTCCAAAATTACAACTTTATTAGCGATTAGACTTAAAAAGAGTATTTCCACCCAACATTTACAAAATGAAATTTTGTAAAAATGATATTTCGTTATCACTCTGTTCCAGAATTAATGAAATATACTTTAAGAGGTTGACAGAGCATACAAAAGTAAACTCTCTTCATCGCAGAATGCGTAATCCCAAGTTAAACATTGTGCATATATTTAACGTGCGCTTATCAACAGAGTTTTCCTTTTTTTCACCCAAGCTATCTTTTGCTATTCGGTGGTAGAAGTGAACATTTCTGTCAGCTACAGTTCTCAGCTATTGTTTCTAACAGCTAATTTCCTTCTGATGAAGAGTGATTTGCCCGTGGCTGAATGGATAAGACCGCTGAATACTGGTGGCTCGATCTGCATTGATACCTTAAAAAACAGGCTGGCTACATGGGCATTTTTATAAGAGTATACTTTAAGAATGCTCCAGTTCCCTCTAAGAAGCCCTACATGAGCGACTACTTCGCCTTAAATAGACAGCCCTCGCTTGCTTTCCTACACTGAAACAGCATATTATTGTCATTGAGGAGTCCTTCGTGTTTTTCGACCGAGAAGAGAAAAAAAAATTAAGAAAGATTTGTGATTATTTGTTGTCAAACACTTTGCATTATATTGATTATAAGTTGTCAAACACTTTGCATTTTCATTATAAAATCTAAATAATTTTCACTTTTCATAAATATTATCTTGATGTTCCTGGTAATTCTTGTTTAAATTCTGCAAATATACCTAATGCTGTTTTCTGAGCGCTCAATTTTTATTTACTTAATTCTCCTGGAAAAGGCAAGAGTTGTAAAAATCAAAATAAAATGTAGAGGAATGTACTTAAGGTAGAGGAAAAGGAAATAACAATTGATATGACTGATTGTTGTAACTGAAAAGTTATGCGAGTTCTCAGAATTCTGTATCACTTTGGAAGCATTGTGTGAAAACTGAGCCATAGCCGGGATAAAGGTGATGCACTTGCGTCAGGAGAATAACTAGAGGGTGCGCCAAATAAGCTACAAAAATTTACAAAGAAAGAAATACGATTATTAACTTTTCGAAACATCAAACGAATTTTATGTTATAAAATAGTCCAGCTGAATCAAGACAAGAAATAATAAATTTTTAATCAAAACTGCGAATGTTTCTTAACACTATATATAGTTTTCTAACATTAAAATTTATTGTTGGATTGCATTAAAGATAATTTGCGCTTGTTTATCCTAATGTATTCAGCTGCATAGTCTAAGCTTAAAGCATCATGCTACTTGCATCAGTAGTTCTCTACTATCATCCTTTTAGCTTGAACTATAGGCTTGCCGCTCTTAGTTAGTCGTAACATCATTTCTGGAGTCCGCTAAATGAAGGGGGACGACAATTCAACTACCTACAATGTTGAAACAGACATATGACATGAAAGCTTATAGCATCGGGAGGATAAGCAAGAATATTTAAAACTAAAATATGTATCATATTTTCAATATTCTGTTTCACTTTTTGTATAAAATGTATCATTGAACAAAGCGCATAATTCAAGGATTTGTGTTCGTGTATTCTCATATAATTTGCTCGGAACTATACTGTTGGTTTTGTTTGCGGTTATTATAGAGCAGTGGCACATATTGCTGGATAGATTTACTGAATAGGTACATTAGTCTAGCTCATTCTCTAAAAAGACTCGAATATAAACATATAAGGAAACACATAATTTCTCTCTCCTTTTTAATTGTCCTACTGTTTATAATGAAACAATAAAATTAATTGCTTAATGAGTACCAAAGAAATTTTAAAAAAGAGAAATTTATAATTTTGAATTTTTTGGGGAAGATTTCAGACAAAACTTTCTGACTACTTCTAATGGAACTGATACTGATAAAAAAGAACACGTTTTAAAGAGTTTCGTTTCGTTTCTCGGATTCCAAAGCAACCGATAGAAAGAATATATTTTTTAAAATACATTTTTTTTTTAAATTAAAAAGCAAAAATTCTGAAACAATTTATCCTGAAGAAACAAAAAACACTGAAGGTTATAAAGCGGTTGATTTAAAGATTATAGAAAACTAAAATGAAAGTATCAAAATAAATTGGACTACAAACTTGTTTATTGGCGCGAGTAGAAATGAAAAGAAACATCGGTAAAATTTGCGAACTTTAACTCACTGTTGCCCAAAGAGTCACTGACGAAGAGGAATAAAATAAAGAGAAAGCATGAAGTCACATTAATTATTAACAACTTTAAAATAGTGCTTGTTTTGTAGGGATATTATGAGAACAATAAATTATAAAATTTTATCTGGCAGCCGCTCAGTTTGTCATATTTGAAATAGAATTAGCTGGCACATGATGTTCTCTTTAAGTTCAGTTAAGTCATTCGTACAATAAAAATGTATACTACTGGTGAATGATATGCTTGTCTTAAAGACTACTTCTTGAATCAATGGATTACACTGAAACATGTGAGGCCATTTTCTTTAGGAGGGATGCTTCCATGGAGAATATACCGAAGGAAGTATTCGGTTGTCAAGTTATGGGGAAAGTTCGAAAGTTGTACTGCCAAACTGTTTGCTACGAACCGTACCAGAACGCCTATTCTATGATCACTGGATCTGTCTACAACTTAAGCGAACAATATTGACTCAAAGAAACCGGTATGGACAGCTATCAACGGTGGCGTGGCAAATGCGGTCAAGAGACTGACGTTAATTACGGAAGGGGAAAGTAAACGGCTGTGTCAGGGATCATAAGGGGAGATATATTTTTTTTTTAAAAAGTGTTTTTTGGCTAGTTTATACATTCAAAGGAAAATACAAGTTACTCACTGAACTTCGCACATTAGTCTGAATAACCTTTAAACCCGATGAACAGTACATTTGTGTGACAAGGCGAGCTTTCTGACTGTACAATCTGTTTACATTTAGCGAGCTTGTGCCGAATAAGGTTATTCGCTATTTTATGTACTTTCTGCAATATTTTGTAATTCTTTTATTTTTTTCATTAAATTTTATTTTTTTTAAAGATAATTTTTTTATTCACAAATATTTATATTTTCTATTTTTCTAATAAGTGAAACATTTAATTAAATTCTGATATTTTGTTTTCATAAGATAAAGTACGAAACCTTTGTTAAAATTTTCATAGCTCACTGTAGTTCAGTGACCGTATTTTAATGTGCCATTTTATTCGCGAGTCCATTCATCCGATTTGAAACTTGGGAATGAATTAACAAATCCCTATCGACTTGAATACAGTGAGCCTGAGTAAACGGGAAGTATCTTTCGTAAATATAAAAACCATTATAAGCGCATTTCTAAATAATAATTTTAAAATATAATTTTCACAGCTGTTTGACGCTGCTTTCATTTCTTAATTATAAATATGTACTGAAAATTACGAAGAGAATAACACATACGTATCTGTTATTACTAGAATAAGTATTGCTAATGTATGCGATAGGGCTTGAAAAACTAATTTGATTCACCTTTCTTTTCTTTATGAATGATGAATATCTGTTTGCCATACACGTGATCAAATAGGGAAAGTGTTTAATCCGTAAGATTATAAGTATTGATTAACATTTCATATAACTACTTTTAATTGAGGCTTTCTAAGAGCAACCCCCTTAATTTTGACTCGCAGCTTTTAATTTTAGACTAGGATATGAGCATAGAATCTACCTTTAAACAATGGGATTTTTTTTTAACACTGTGGCATGACAGTGCCTAGTAATAATAGTTTTAGCGTCACTAAGAATCATTTTCTGGATTCTCATATTGATTTTTTTCCAAAAAGATATTAAAAGCTGCAATTGGACGAGTATGAGCAATGCATAATACATACATATATAACGTAAGCATACCATAAAAAATAATGAACCCCTCCCCCAACAAAAGCTGATCGAACTGCTATTGAACTCTAAAGAGGGGTTTATCAATGAGGGAAAATGGCAATTAAAATCAATTAGAATTCCATTTAATTGATTTTAATTATTTATTTACTGTATCGATTTTATTATTAATTGTAATGGATTGGAATATTTGAATATGAATTCGCTGAATATTTAAGAAAATTATTATGACTGCGAGAATAGAAAAAACCATTTTTTGAATATTTACTTTTCTTATAGAATGCAGATGAATTCATTTTTACTCAATGAAAATCAAAATTTAGTAGCTGATTAATCTGTCCTGTATCGAGCACCTTTAGTTCAGTGATCCGTATTAATGTGCTCTTTTTTTTTATTTTAAAAAAATTTAAACTGTTTCAAGAATAATTAGAAAAGGGCATAATTCTCTTCTTACCCCTAAATTCTTCAATAAAAAAACTGCATTTTCAGCTATAACCAAGTGAAAAATAATTTC